TACAAGTTAATGATTAAGACCCCTAGATGTGGTAACCATGCTTCAGTTGAAACAGTTCTTCAAACTCCACAAAGTTCAAATGTAAGAGGCAGGGTACCTAAATAACTTTTACAAGCAGATGTATGACATGATTATTTTTGTGAACCCAGAACCAGACCAAGGATGAGATGCACTTCTGAGAACTTACGAGCTCTGAACTTCTATTGATAACCCAGTGACTGGCCTGATCAAGAGACAGAAAATTCTTAAGCCTCAATAAATTTTGGTTGACAAATTCTCCTCTTTGATTTCTGTAACTGAGGTTCTCCACAATTTAGTTTTAAAAATCTAATCATCTTATTGTCAATGACTTGTCACAGAGGTAATGAAGAGTGATTCAAACATTATAGACTTTAAAGTTTCTGTTGTCTTTGTAGTGTAATAAAAAGTCAGATTACAGTGAAGGCAGCTGACAAAACAAAGTGTTAATTTCATTGAAATCAGCATATTGATGCTGTATTATTAAACTTCTTTGTGATATTTCAGAAATTATCATATTGAGGAACTTCCTAAAGACTATGAGATGCAGTGGGTTTAATGATTCCATATTGGGTTTTGCTTAAAAGTTCTTGTTGGAAAGGATGAAGTATATGTGCTTTGTCCACAGGATGTCTTTATTGAGCAAACAGTAGGGAGGTGGTATTTTAATGATAAAATTAGCATATTTGTTTATAGTAAGTATACTTCATAATGGAATAATTGCCCTTTAAAAAAGTAAGTCTTGCTTATCTGGTTAAGTTTTCTCATGTACTTAAGTGGGCTGTTGTATTGGATTGGTATTAAAAGCTGATAGACTAATCTTCCCTAAAAAAATCCAACAAATGAGAAATAGAAAATCTCCCACCCCAAAAAGTCCAACAGTGTAGATTCTATTTATGAAAGAACCTTCCAGTCTTTCTTTAGCAATACTTCAGTTAAGCTCTGCACATTCTTACCAACTTCCCCCACCAGTCTAACTAAAATTTCACCTTAAAATAAGTTCATCAGTTTCTGTCTAATATCTTCTTGAGCCTTTGCAGGTGGCCAGTAGTGGATAAAGGAGGAGATTTAACTCGTTTCATGTCAATAGATCAAAATACACTCTCTCAGAAGAGAAAGCTCAAAGGAACAGGATTAAACCCCTTGAATATTATGCAATTAAGAACTTATTAGAATCAACAGGATAGCTTATATTTATGCTTTAGACAGCATGATTCATTCTGCAGGCACTTGGAACTATGGGACCAATTTTCTAGCACTTTTATCCTGTTATATTTGGGAAAGTAAGAGTGCAATGTATAAAGAAGGCCAGAAGATGGGAAGAAAATGTCTTTTATACATCAGGACTTGTTTTATGTACATATGGATACTACCTATGCTGTGAGAACTAAGCAACATTTTTTCAGTGGTATGAAAGCCATGTCTAAGTATATTTTGAGTCTGGTTTGTCTTCTAAAAAACTACCATGTGATTTTACCACTTTATTTCATGTAAAATGAATGTCAAGATCATTCTTGTCAAATCTGTTTTTAGTACAAATCCACAATAGAATGCATTTGGTAAAGAAAGCTAGTGTGTGGAGAAAGTATATATGTGTGTGTATATATATGTACACACATATACACACACACATATGAGGAGCTGAAACAGTATGGAATTCCCTGCCAGCTAATGGAAGTGTGTGTTTTAAGTGGAATAGCATTCCCAGACCAAGTTGGATCCCAGTGGAAAAAGTCTTTAGAGATGAGAAGGCAGCTAAGTAAAATAGACTTCAATTGTACTTCCCATGAAATTTTTGTGCAATATGTCTGTCTTCAACCTGTTAAAGATAATATATATTGTTGTATTTGGGGGCCACAGTAAGCATAGTCCTCTGCCACTCCTTTCACATAGACATGGGGAAGTTTTTCCTTGGGTGATAGGGTAGTTTGGTAAGGATGAGTAAAGGAAGAAAAGAGGTAGAAGAACAGTTCTGTAACTTGTGGAACAGGAATGGATTCCATGCCAGGAGAAAGTGAGTCCTCAAAGTTTGTTGCACCATCCTTGAAGGATGGGAAAGACTTTGAATGCGTACAGAGGAGGGGAAAAAGCTGGTGAAAGGGGTAAAAGAATGTTCTATGTGAAGTGGCTAAGGTCTTTGGACTTATTTAGTTTGGAGAAAAGGAGGCTGAGGGATGACTTCATTGCTCTCTACAGCTTTGTGAGGAGGGGAGGTGCTGAGATCATCTCCCTGGTATCTGGTAATAGGACATATGGGAATGATTCAAAGCTGTGTCAGGGGAGGTTCAAATTGGGCATTGTTTTACCTAGAGGGTGCTTAGGCAATGGGACAGGATTCCTAGAGAGGTTCTCAATGCCCCAAGCCTGTTAGTGTTTAATGGGCATTTGGACAATATCCTTACCAACATACTTTAACTTTTGGTCACCCCCTAGTTGGTCAGGCAGTTGGACTAGATGATCATTGTAGATCCCTTCCAACTGAAACAGTCTAGTCTGTTCTAGACCTTTTCTGGTCCTGGCTCAAACATCTTCAGTGGCAAACTAAGGAGATGTTAGGTGATAGTTGCCAGGCATAGAATATAGCTTGATATTTTAAAGCCTCCATGAATCCTGTTCTTTAATGGATGTAGAAAGCTTGTTCTGCTGTGGGTCAGTGATGCACAAGAAGTTCATGGGTCTCAGGATATAACTTTAGTCTGTAGGCTGACTTCTTGCTTTTTTTTAAAGCTTGCAGTAGGTTATCGATGTCAAAATTTTAAACTAGAAATGGTTGAACTAGAAAAGGCACAATACAGAATGTAAATATCCGTTAATCTGCCTTTCAATACCTATTATTAAATGCTATTCCCAGCTCTCTAGTTCACAGTTAGTTTTATGGGTTTCCCTCCATTTTCTGTCATCTTCTGTTACAGAGAATAACTTGTCCATATTTCCTAAATAGTGTTTTATGTCTAAAGCTTTAGATGTCCACCTTCTTTCACTGGAATGAAATGCCTATGGCAGAGAGCTAACATAAGTTGGTAGATGCTTTTAGGATCAATGTCAATAAGCTTTCATATTGACAATAAACATTTCTTGTGACTTCACATGCAGTAGCATCACCAGATGTCTCAACAGATTGACATTGTCACAGTATTTTCCTTTGTTTGGACGGTAATTTTCCTAAATGTTTCTAAATGTTAATCAACCAAATATAAGTATATAGAAAGGGAAAATGATAGGCCAAATAAAAATAGCTTCTATTAATGTTAAAGCTAGCCTGTGAATTCCAGTGTTTGCATTCCATGGGGGTTCTCCCTATGCATTAGGAAACAGCATAATTAAAGATTAAAATAATCCTAGTGCTTAACTACAATGTATTATTTTTTGGAAAAGGAAAAAGGAAAGGGATAAAAAGAAAACCTGAACAAGCAGTTATAATCTCTTACTTATGACTCCCTATGGAGATCTTTAAATAAGATTATGTATTTAGAGTGCATCCTCATCTGGTGGGAGCATCATTCTCTAAATAACAAAAAAGCCAAATTATATTACTACCCAAAAGAGGTTAGAGTCAATTCTTTCCTTGTGTTATTCATACTAAAATATTAAGAGTTTAAATATAGCTAATCCTATAAAATCATAGTTTGCAATGTAAAAGGAGTTAGGTGGTCGTGAGAAAGATGAGGTAATCAACATTGCATTCCAGTTAAAGCCAGTTGCTGCCCTGTTTGCTAACACTTGGTGGTTTCTTTTAAGACCTGATTATTTTCAACAGAAAGCTCTTTGCATGAGTGGAATATTTAAAATTATCAGAAGAAAAATAAAAGTAACATAATGATCTAGAAAAGTCTATATCACTTGTGATATGGAAGCTGGCATGATTGTTTGCAAAAGTATTACTGAGCTGCTAAGTTGCTTCTTGATGTTCTCTTTCTGCTTGTACATGCTTGTACAGATGAAATATTCTCAGCACTGTGCTCAGCCTATAAGCTTGTGCAGGACAATAAAAACATACAAGTCATAAATGCTTAAAGAAAAGGGCCAAAGTGTCAACAAGGAGTTTATACTCCCTCACTTCTGGTGTTTCCTTGAAGGTAAAAGGTGCTGCTTTAGTAGATTAGCAGGATTATGATGCATGATATTGTGTCACAATCTTATAACTTTGCCATTGGATGATTCTTCCAGTACCTATATGGACTTTCTTGTTGTAGTTTGCAGCAGTAATCACGTGTGTATTTGTACCAGCACAATCATCCTGTTAGTGTGTGGGACTAAAATGATGATCTACAAATCCATTACTATGAATATTCTTTAAAGTTGGGGAAGAAGTATGGAGAATTTTAGAAAGATCCAGGTTGGAAAGAAGGTGGCACATTGTAGTAGCTCTGTAGCCATTTTCTTTCAATTATTTTCAGCTATGGTAGGTAATTTTGTAACTGGAGATTTATTTGCAGAAGTTTCTTATTGTTGCTGATAAAATACATATGACAACTCAGAATAAAGTAATTTTTAGATAGCTTTGCATGTTTTGAAATGACTAAGGCATAGTCTTTATCCCATACATACATCAAATTCCAACAAGGCATACAGACATTCGGGGTTTGCAAGAATTTTGCAACGTCATAGGATTTGCTTCTCTAGCTTTATTTTGAAAAAAAGAGAAGCTGTATGCTTTAAAACTTTCTGAATAGCCTTTGAGCTTGAAATAGGACATAGCAGAAGAAACACCAGCCTGGAGTTTTTACAAAGATATATGGAATTTACAGCATGGCTGTGTCATATATTAAGGAGCCTGTATTATAGTATTTACATACATATGTCTCTATATCTGAAGCTATTTAGAAGAAAATCTCTTTTCCTTATTAAGAAGTGAATAAGTATGGTTGAGTTGAACATGAGTTGATAGACTTCATCTCTTCCATAGGCAATTCTATGTTCATATCTTGACAATTACTAAGGATTGTGGAATTGTGTTTGGACATTTCATATTTCTCTTTCAGGTAACTGATACCAGCTGCATCCAACAGCCCTTTACTATTTTACCAGTTAAGACTAAATGGAACAACGCAAACTTTCATATTCTCTTATTTGATCTGGAAAAACTTGAGGAACTTCTGCTGTCATCACAACTCAATGGATTAAAATCATTGAATTCATTCCACAACCTATACAATCTAGAAAGAGCCAAAAGTACTACTGAGAAAAGGGCACTGACGTTAAAAAGAAACAAAACTGCTGGCTCCTTGCCTCCAGTGGATGGGCAGGTAGATACTGCTTTTTCAAACCAGGTCTGCAAGGATAATAATGCAGCTAAGCCTGTGGAAGAAAGTGGTGGCATGAAAAGGCAGAAAAAAATGAAGAGTTCAAGAAAGATTAGAATTCAGCCATCAGGAAACATTGATATGAATGTCATCACTGATACAGCAAAACTGCTTTTGTCATGTCTCCTACCATGGGGTGTAGATAAAGAAATAGACAATCTCTGTGTTAGCCACTTGGGTATCTTGAGGCTTCAGTGTCGGGTTTCTTTTGGACTTGTGTCAGATGAAAGCCACCTATCACTAATGTTGCCAGGATGGAAATGTACTGATTGTGGTGTGCCAGGAGAACATGAAATTTTCAACTTGTTTTCAAAAAGAGTGCTTGATTTGTCAAACAAATACCTTGCTGCAACTGAAGGACAAACTGGAGAGAAGAATGAGCCTGAGAACAATGTTTATGGAACAAAGGATTTGGAAACGATACTTTTCTTATTTAGCAGAATAGCTTTAATCAACAGGATAATTAACATACCTTCAGCAGTTACAGATGAAATTGAAAGGTAAGATCTTTTTCATAATGAATCTTCTCTTCCTTTGTAGTGGTTAAAAAATGAAAAACATGATCAAACTTTCTTAAATATATACTTCTGCACTGGAGCTTATATTCTTTCTGTGGATATTTTTACAGGATGTTATTTGAACAAAAGGAGATCAGGATAAAATTAAGTATCTTTATATTTTTGTATTTAGCAGATGAGAACTGATGCATGATTTTTTTTCAACAGAACAAGAACTTGAATTATCCAGCTTCACACCCTCTTTTTCCAGCGATTACTCTTTTCTTTGCAGTTTAAACTAAGTAGAATAATGAGGTCTCTTTAGACACATTGCAAGATATACATTAAGCACATTTGTGCTGGTTTAGCTTCCACTCTGCATAAGGAATATCCTTTCTTTGCCATGAAACACATGGCTTTGTGGATAAATAAAACATGAGAGGCAAGAACAGTTTGTCCTACTTATGCTATCTAAAGTAAAACGCCCCCAGTAATAATGGCAGCCACTGGGAATGAATGGCTCGTTGGCCCTTATGTAGTGAGAACCATCCCAAATAGCATTTATGTTATTCAAAACAAATTTATTGACTAAATGCTTTTTCAGCATTAAAGGAAAAATAACATGCCCGACATTATTTGACCAAGCCAAATAGAGCATGCTAATCAGGCAATGGATATTGTCCACAGATTTTTTTTGTTGTTCAGCAAACATAGGTTGGTCTTTATTTAGTATTTTAGGGACAATTAACTTCAGTGTTGGTGATGCTATGGCCCTGAGGCAAGAAGGGAGGACAGAAAATATTGATCTTGATGCTGCAAATATCTGTGTCTTCCATAAAGCTCTAGGCATTCAGCATATCTCAAGACACATGCACCATCCCACAGGACAGATGCATGTTTCTCAGTTACTTTTGCTGCTAATCACATTGCCTATTGGTCCATATTCAACACAAGCTCTTATATGAAAGCTTGTTTCAGGATTCCAACTTGAACATGAATTCCTTTCCGTACAAAAAAGTTTGCATTGTATGTTGCACTACACTTTTGGAAAGACATTGTTTAATTGAAGTTAGTCATCATACCACAATCAAATGTTTTCATCAGACATGCATGTCCTGGCTTTAGAACATATCTCTGGTGAAATTAGGAGAATTGAAGTTGTTGCAGGAAAGAAATGCATGGGTCCTTTCGTGGGGGGAGGGGGATGAAGAGTGAGGGTTGTTAGTGGTTTTAACTTCCCTGTGATGAAGTTAGTTTTGTGTCTGACTATTAATGACACTTGTTTTAGTATCTGAATTTATCTATACTTTCTGTATTGCCTCAAAACCAGTTAGGTAATGCAAAGCTATCTACCTCTCTCCATCTAGGGAAAAAGCTCCTTTTCTGTGAAGATCTTTCCCTCTTCCCTCCTACCCCTTCCCCAGTAATAAGCATAGTGTGAATAGGACTTGGCCTGTTTGCCATGATCTTAGGATTCAGCCTTCATTTCACCTCTTCCTCTTGCAACTGAGGTCTGAATGAACTGTTGTAATCTGTGTCCATTAATTCTTTAAATTGTTTTACATGATTTATGCTTATTTATCTTTTAGTCTGTACTCTGGCTTGGAATTAATTTTCTCACTATGATGATCTGTTATAGTAATGTGCTTTTGTCTAAGTAGAAGTTTGAGAAAAACAATCAAATGCTATTTTGTCCAATTTGCCTTCTAAAAGTACAGTATGTAGCCAAATCTCTTTGGGCAGCTGCTGTGGCCAAAACTACAGCACACTCAAGGGAAAAAAACTATGTACTGACTTCTACTTCCCCACAGAAGTAGTTAGTAGGACAACTTTCACAGCTTGCAAGGGTCCTGCTGTTTGTTGTTTCCAGCTTGACTCAGCCTCTGAAAATAATGGAACCTGCAGCACAATGTGTCAGATCATGAAAGTGGGACAGAAACAGAAAGAAGTTAGTAAGAAAAGATCTTTAAAGAATTTGTCTTCACTTGCCTTTTGAGATCCGTGTCTCCAAATTAAAGCTCTCAAGCTGAAAGCTTTCAGAGTTGTTTAGCTTTGTAAGGCCTCTTAACTTATGTTGATTGTAGTGAATTTGAAAGGTGAAATATATTATTTTTAAATGACAACCCAGTGTAGTTTTTGCAGGGTCACTCTAGTAATGTTTTTAAAATAAATAGTCTAAAATAGTACAAGGGTTTAGAGAGTTTAGTTCCTTTCTCCTCCACGCATATCCTCTGTTTTCAAGGGTTAGGTTGCTGAGTTAATAACAAAGTACTAAAGAGCAGCACACAGTAGTCTCCTAAATTGTAACCAGCTACTGAAATCCCAGTGATTGTAAGAATATTCTAAATTATTTAACATAGGATGGGAGAAAGGGAGGAGAGAAAACCTATAGAAATTCTAGTTTCCCTTGAACGTTTTTCCTATGTGTTAGCAAAAATGCAGCACAAGTCCTATGTGCAAACAAATTTTAATTCAGTTCTTCACCTAGGAATTTGTTTCCTTATTGCAGCATAAAACTTAACATTTGGTTCAAAACTAGTTATAGTTTAGTTCCTGCATGTGGATAGTACTTTTCAGTATTTGTGTACATGTGATGGTTTCAATAGTAAGTTGTAGGCAAAAGAATTTAAGTGACTTCTGAGGAGAAACTAAATACTGGTTGATAGTAACTGATAGCAGAGTATCTACCTTAAACCCCTACCTTAAGGCATAATATTTCTTTGCATGTTTGTTCAGATTTTGTTAAATAGTTTAATATTCTTTTAGCCCACAGAAATCAGAATCTGTACATGACAAATGGCGAAATGTAGAAGCAGTAACACCTTCATTCCTCAGTTTTTATGGAGACTTACCAAGTAGTAAGTATATGGAGGAGTGGCAATATTAGCTTTTAAGTGTTCTTTTTTTTTTTTACATGCTTTTTGTTGCTGAAATAGATCATTTAACTTCAGTAATGAGAGGAGAAAATATTCTTTAGCTTGGAGCAGTTCCATCTGCAAACAGAAACTGAATTACTCTGTTTGATTCAGTGAATATCACAAAAACATGTAGAAAACGTTGACTGGAATTGAGGATTTTTTTCTGTCATAGCAAAATATTTAGCTGAGGTTCCAAAGATATTTTCTAGCAATCTGAAGAACAGAAATGTAATAAGACAAACACTGTGATCTCTTCCCTCCCCCATCTCCCTCACCACCATTATGTGCCTGCCCAATAACATATACAGCCCTTCAAGCAAACTGTTGCCTTAGTAATGCAAGAGCCATCTTGGCTGTTCAATAATGCCTTTAGACTTTTGGCTTAGGGCAGAATGAAGTAACCTCGTCCCATTAATGTCCCACAGGCCATTGTTTGTCAATCTTGGCTTTGCAGTCAGTCTTGGTTTGTTTACAGTATGCAATGAACCAAAGAATGGTTAAATAAAAAGCTAAACAGAGTATGGACATTTGTCAGTATACATTACCTGATGGATATAGTGTTCCTGTTATAGACTAAGTCCTGTCTAGGCTGATAACACAAATTCTTTCAAGTCACTTACGTAGCAGAGGGTCAAGATTTAAGCCTTAATATCCCCATCTAAACCCAATTCTTAGTTACCTTTCCTTCTCTGAGTTTGATGTGCACCATAACTGTAAACTTGTGATTGACAGCAGATGTGCCCATTGGAAAAAACCAGATGGAATGTAAAAATCAAGTGACAATAGAAAATAAGTAGATGAAAGGCATGGAAATGACATAGAGATGAATGCAATGGCATAGAGATGAATAAAATGTTCATGAACATAGAAATAGTTTTACTAAGTGACCAAAAGCTTCTAAGACAATAGATATCTTAACACATTGTGCTTATCGGAATCAGGTGAAAGCATATTCTAAGAAATTACACTTTTTCAGATATTTTCAGGTATGTTGCTGAAGTGAAGAAGTAAAAATGTTAAAATATCTTTTGTGTACTTCTCTATATATTGTAATTTCATAAATCATGTATGTGTTTTTTCAGGTAAGAGTAGATACCATACCCCAGACTTTGGAAGTATTTCATTGCTGAAACTCGTTTGTTGTTGGAGTGACCAATCTGTAAAGGTAGGAAATAGCCTTTGTCAGTTGTTGCAAGGGAATCCTTAAGTAACATTGTCTGTAGTTTAATATTTGTAAACAGTGAATGGTGAAATTATTACGTAAATCATGCCATCCAGATCTATGGAAAGCAGATTATTATTATAATTTGGAGTATGATACTCATGAAACTATTTTACCTTACATGTTTAGGTGTGGCAAAGTAACTGCCCTACTATTCTTTAATCTAGGTGATCTTGTCCATAGCATGTGTTTAAGAAGTGACTTATCTGTGCTCTAACAACCACATGTAACTTATATCACAGATGCCATTTTATTCTTCAGGAAAATAAAAGGCCAGAATAAGGACAGTGTCATATACCAGTGTATTATTATAGAAGAAGCAGAAAATGCCTTCATAAAGGCCAAATAATTAATCCAGAGTCCTTACTTATTATAACACTCCTTAACAATGACCTGTAAGTCATAAGTTATGGGTTCCTCAGGTCAGATGATGCTCATGTCTATTGTTAGTGAAGAATCTGAAGTCTAGAGAGACAAGAGACAACTGTTTCTTGAGAGCTGGCAGGTTAACAGTGATGAAATAGTCTGAACAATGAAATCAAGATACCATTTTTCATTTTGGAAATATGAATTTAAAAAGTTGTGTAGCTGCTTAAGTGAGTTAATGTTCAGGAATACAAAACTCAAGCTGTTATACTATGACCACAATGGATTTTATTCCAGAAAGGGAAATCCTTGTTCCAAATTTATTTTATGATATTACTTCTGAAATTGAATGCAACTCTCTGCTGCATTTCAAGTGCAAGGAATATTTGCCAGGGCTGAGGCATGCAGGGGTACTGCAGGGATAGTCCCCTGTTTTGTTAGACAGATGGAAATGGTTTCTGCAAATGGTCACATTCAATTGATTTCAGCATTTCATCTTGAGCTTATCAGTTATTTATTATATCGCCATTTCTTCCATATTATTTCTGTATTCTTCTTCTCTTCCTTTTCTCTTACAATAAGATTTTTTTTTCCCCTTTTTTGAATCTTTTTTGTAAGAAAACTTAATACAGGAACTCAGTTTCAATAGGTGCAATTGTCATGTGAAATGCATATAATCTATTGCTGGCCTGGTCAGCTACTGCAACTCTTTAGTGAGTAGTCATATATTCATGACAGTTGTATTTGCAGCATAGTTGATTATGTGAGATCTAGGTATTTATATTTTCCAGTGTATTTAGTAACTAATCAGTGTATACAATGATAATGGTCTTGGCTACCACAGGATGTTAGTGTGCAGGACGATAAGGTGTGGAATAATTTTTTTCAGCTGAAAAGACTTTAAGACACTGAAGTTGCCAAGTACTGCAAACACCGTGCTATCAGTATTTCTCAACATGTAGTATTATTGAAGCACAACCTTGTAGTGCAATAAGCTTTCTTCACCCACTTTGTAGTGCAGATTTTGGATCGTTTGCAGCAAAACTGCTGTAAACATTTTAACATTCAGAATCATTTGTGATGTTGGCACTAGGTGTACATATTCAGTCATTGATGATTTATAGAAAATTACAGTTTATGTTGACAATAAGGTGGCTTTGTTAAAACCTTATATAAATGGAGATTTATGGCCAAGTTATTAATCCTGAGCAGCCCTCATGGACATTTACCAAAAACATCACTAGTTACCCTGTTTTTAAAAACTCCTTTTATTGTGATCTTCAGTGAACGATACTAACTCACAGACATGACCCAAAGGAGTTGCCATTTATTGATTTGTCATCTCCTTACAATACTGTAACAGTTCCTGTGCAAACAAGGAAACTAAAAAACTTGCTGCAAGTGTTTGATCAGGGGTCTACTGACTTGAAGGGTTGAGGGAGGTTGAGTGCCATCCCAGTGTTGAAGTATTCCTTTTCTGTACAAGGAAACTTGTATCCTCTGTGATCAGCTGTATGCTTATCATGACCTCCCATTAGGAAAACTGTTGATAATATATGTAGATCTCTGGCATAATCATCTGCATGAGGAATGTAGCTGCATTAACCTTGCTTTTTCTCCAGGGGAAAAATACAAACTTTGTTAAGGGACTGTTGAAATTTTAGGAGGAATGAATCATCCCAGGACTTTCTCATCTCTTTCTATTTATTCCTGCAGTGCATATGTTTGATTTTTGTTTTCTTTCACTGCAGTTACTTCATTTCCATTAGTAGCTAAAGTTAGGTGGGAAGGACTTTATTTTAAAGGAATAAGCCACATCATGTTAAGACCATTGCAGTAAGTAGGACTGATAAGGTAGTACCAATGCCCAAGTTTGCAGTAATTTGTCTAACAAGGTCTGAGTGCATTTGTTTTTACAGCCTTTGACTCTACCTGAAGCCAATATGCTTCAGTCTAAGTATCTAGACAACTGCCCTGATAATTACTATGCAGAAGCAGGGAAAAGCAGATTGGATAAATCAAGCTGATATTTTGATCTATATTTTTTTGCTCCCCAATGTGACTGTGTTATGGAGTCATCTTGGAGACAGTTTCTGCAAGGCTCAACCCTGTAGAGGTTATGGCCTGAGCAGTAACCAGGAGTGATGTCTATTGACTTCTCTCCTTAAACCCACTCATTATAAAGAGAATAATAATCTTTGGAAGTAATTGGTAAAGTGTAGAAAAGAAAGCCAGTATAACTTAGTATAGGTTTAACATTTCAGCTTGACCCAACTTTTGTTCACTTGTCTTTTTGAATTATTCTCTAGTATTGCTGCTGTAGAGTCAAACAATTACCTTTCATGCCTTAATACCAGTATTTATAGATGGATATATGCTATTTATACTTGCTCAGTCAAAGAAGCTGCATAATTTCTGTCACTTTTAGCAATCCCAAATAAAAAGCAGATAGTATTTACAACAGCATTTACAGTTATGGGGCAAAAAATGAACACACATATTAGTAGCCAATAAGGTGGCTAATGTGTATCCAGAAGGGCACTAAAGATAAAGTGGAAATGATCAGAGAAAATGAAAGGTGCCCATGTAGATTTGTTCCATTAGAAACAGGCAAAACTTCTGAAGATTCTTAAACTTGGTGATAATGATAGATGAGGTATTTGAATTATTGGGGAATATGCAGTGAGAGGACAAAACTAAACATGTGAGATCACACCAAGCACTGTTTAAATGCAGATTCAACAAAGCAATAGACAAGTAGCAAGCAGAGACACATACAGGTGCCTCTAGAGTATCATGTCGTGCCATTTGTTAGTTTTTTGTTTTGTTGAAAAATCTTAGAGGAAATTGTTACAAATGCTGCCTAACTGACCTACACGGCGATGATACAGGTAATGTGTATCTGATCCAGATTAGTGATAGGGTCTTAGCAGATTTCTTTTTTGTTCCTCTGTCAGAATTTATTTGTCAACAATTTCCCCAGGACAATGAAAACATGTCTGTGGTTCCTTCTCTTTCTTAATTATTGTAGATATATTGTAAGAGTGTGCTGTAAAGTCAGGATCTGTAATTCCCAAAGCTCAGGGTTGTATAGATGTGAAGAATTGAAAACTGCCTTTGGTTTTCCCTTTAAAATAAAGTTCTATTATAACAAGATGAAGGTTTGTGCTATGTTGAATCACACAGGGCTGGGTTCACTTGCAGTGAACTTTTACACTGTGGACCTGACTATGGTATACTTGGTTACAATAAAGGCTTTTGTCACAAAGGAGACCCACAGCCTTTGTTCCACTTAATGATTTGAATTTACAAGGGCAGCTTGAGATGCGATTGAGGACATGTGCTTGATTAGTGAGACGAAACCATCTCTCTTCCAGGCAGTTTTAGGGATCCTGTATATCAACTTAACTTTATGTTAAATTTAAATACTTTTGCTAGGTTTTTAATAATAAAAATTTCATATAAAATTTAAATGTTTATAATATAAAAATATTTGGCTTAACTTTTCATATTCAATTTAAATTAATAGTTGGGTTGAGATGGAATACACTCTCCTGGACAATTTAGATTCACTCTTCTTTTCAGGCAATGTCTTGTACCTGAGAATGAATCCCTTCCCAAGGGAGAAAATTGTATTCCTTTTCTGAAGGAACTACCAAATGAAGAGCAGGTGTGCATGCTGCCATTCTGCACCTTGCTGAAATTTAGACTAAGGATTGCAAAACTTTGTGTCTACTGTCTAAGGTCTTCATGTGCTTTATAAACATCTTACATCTTTATATGGTCTTAGTTCTCCTGGGACTTCTCTGCTAAAGTAAAGAGAAGGAAAGTAATAACTGTTGTATAGTCTCCACACTGCATTGTCCTGATGTCCATATGTGGTGCATCAGCTATTGCAAATGCTGTTTATAGGCTTTTCAGTACTCCAGTAGATGTTCATTTTGGATAAGAGGAGTTTGAGGAATGGTATTTCTGGGAGTTAGACCAAAGATATGGTGCTATTATGTTTGAGCTAGAGGAATAGAGCACCACCACTGATAGAAAAACATTCTTTAAATTTATCAGAGAGAGATTAGGCACCAGAAATTCTAAGTCAAAACACAAGGTCGTTATTCAATCTATTAAGCATTTTTACACACATCAGAAAAAAAAAAAGAAGATATTTCCTATAAGCTATTATCACCATGTGTTTTACTAAGATATATTGTCATGACCCCTTGAAATCATGGAGGTAGTAGGTAACTAATTCTAGTTATTCACATTAAAGAAAATGAATGTTCGTTGGGAAACAGTCCTGTTTGACAACTTAGACCATCTCATTGCTATCCACTTAACTTTTTTTTCTCAATATGTATGTAGAAATACATGATTATCGCTCTCTGAAAGATTTATTGATAAGTGTTGACTTTCTCATGACATTCACTGGGACAGTCTTGAGATTTTGTGCTAGTTGGTTCACATTTTCAAATAGATAAATAATTGAGGTACTGATATTATCCAATAATAATTTGCATTTATGACAGATTATTGAGGCAATGCAAGCAGTGCTGCTGGCAGAAGTTCAAAGGACTATGAATCCCTTGAGAAAGATGACAATTTGCAGAGAGCCATTGGCCATAGTAGAGAATGGAAATGGTAAGTTGTGGACACTTACAAAACCTAAGGATTTGCAATACATTAAAAATCACAGAAAGTTCTGGGTTGGAAGGGACCTTAAAAATCACCTAGCTCCAACCCCCTGCCATGGGCAGGGACAACACCTGCTAGACCAGGTTGCTCAAAGCCCCATCCAACCTGGTGTTGAACACTTCCAAGGATGTGCCATCCCCAACTTTTCTGGCCAACCTGTTCCAGTGCTTCACCACCCTCACAAGAATTTCTTCTTAATATCTAACCTAAATCTACCTTCTTTCAGTTTAAAGGCAGTACCCCTTGTTCTATCACTGCATGACCTTGTAAAAAGTCCATCTCAAAAAAATTTCTTTGTCTTGTAGGTGGAAAATTTTTTGATGTTTTCTTTTTACAAAGGCAGTACCTTCTATCACTGCATGACCTTGTAAAAAGTCCATCTCAAAAAAATTTCTTTGTCTTGTAGGTGGAAAATTTTTTGATGTTTTCTTTTTACAAAAATTTCCTCTGGTATTCAAAACAAGTTGCTAATACATTATTTCTATGTAAGACAAGTCAAATGGCCCAATTTTAACCTTATTAGGTTATGAGTTTTCTCATATGGTTGTCAAGGAGTTAAAGGATTTTCAGGCTCCCTCAGCACCTCTGAGTACTAAAGAAGAAAAGGTAAAGCTTCTTTGGCTATATGACTGTTCTGGTATAGTAAATACATTTGCAAATAAAGGAAGCAGTGCTTTTGAAATAGAATCAATAAATCATATTGGAAAAAAGTTTTACAAATTTATCTTGCCAGTGACATCAGACCTTACACAGCACTAAAAATTAATTGCTTGAATTTTATAACTTCATAATGTAATATAGAATATTTTATTTTTCTTTTAGAAATAACCTCCCTGCAAAGGAGATATCAAATGCATTTTACAATTAGATAATTTCATTTTACAAGAAGCTTACACTTTGCAACTTTACAATGGTGCTAATGTTTATGGTAAAAAAGATTGAACCTGAATTTATGTTATGAAGTTATATCTTTTTTTTTTTTAGCCATTAGCTGAGTCTTAAAATTAAGTGACCTAAATTTTTAGATCCAATCTTATTAGTGAGCCTTCACTTGGGAAACTAATTTATTATCTCATTGAGTGTATGTGTCTGTCATGAAAATTTGTTACCAATATCTTTGTTCCAGCATACTCAAAATGAGCAGTGATACTTGCTTCAGGCCACAATGCAAAGTGGTGTCTCTATAATTTGGACTGTTGGAATACAAAACACTTTGAATGATTGTAATATATGAGTTTATACTTTGCTCATTTGAAGATTGCTTTGAATCATTTTATGTGGTTTGGTACGAGGTGCATTGTAACTAAAGCAATTTCCAATTTCCTGAACTTTTCCGTGTAGTGTTTTGACATAGGTTTACAGCGGAAATAGAACTGACTGGAAGTTGCAAATGCAGAAATCTACAAACTCCAGATGTGTTTAGATCTTTGGGTTTGTTTCAAGACCTTTTAAACTAGATGAAAAAAACATTTCTGTTGCATAAAGAGTACTGGAATGATTCTACAATTTTAGTAATCAATAGCTGTTTAATTCTAAATAAGTATTAAGGCTCAAACAAGTTATGAATTCAGGGGAGTTACTTCTACCATTGTGAAAGAGGGGTTTGTTTGTGTGTCTAGTAACAAATTTTTACTGTCATTTCATTCTTAACCCAATGATTTGATGATTATTCTAAAAACAACTTGAAAATGGCTTTGCTACAATGAGCACAGTATGCATTAGCATTCATACTGCCTAGGATTTTTTCCTACTTCATGGTCTGAACTACATAAATATCTCCTGTAAAGCAGAGTGGATTTTTTTTGACATATTGTTCAGAAATTTAATGTTGTCTGAAAGAGGCAGAAAACATACAGGAAGATTGGGAAGGAGGTGCTGCACTATGAGTATTTAATATTGTATTAGCTTTCTTTTTGTTCTCATTTCCACTCATGATTTAGCTCATTGCATTATTTATCACAGTATGTAAATAGCAGAAACATTCTTGTTTTGGCTTGTATGGTTTTGTAATATGCACTGTAAAATTTGAGGAGTTCAGACAGAATCGAACGAATTTTTTTGTGGTTTCTGGTATGTGAAAGAGTAAAACTATTTGTGGCATGTAATGATATGCAGGAATTATTAAAAAACACATCCAGGAGTAAGTCCACAACCAGTGTATTTGCTAGGACGAGTAATTATGTCTGGGTGTAGTCATTCATCTGATAGGTATGTCATCTGTTTTATTAAATACTCTGTATTTATGGGTTGTACAGTTGCTGTCATCTTGTGCAACTTCAAGGTAAAGGTTAAATATTGTTTCAGGTTTTAAGTCATAATTCAAGACTGAGTTCATGTCCTCTGACCTAGAATAAAAATATCTGAATCTTGGTTGCCATCATCATTGCACTGTACTGCTTTTTCCTTTAATTGAAATTAATAGATTTGATCTGGAGATGTTTAACCTTATTTAACTCAACAAATTTCCACTGAAGTCAATTGAAATTTTTCTTAAAAACACAAACTACTTTCAGGATTTGACCTTCAGTTTTTATCTTTGAAGTTTATAGGCTATTATATAGTTGAGGTTTTTTTCAGGAAGCTCCTTACTCCTTATGAAGCTACTTCATCCTTTTGTCATGGCTGGGGTGATAATATTTAGACAACAGCTTCACTTGCCAAATAATTTAAAATGCTGTATTTTTCTGTGGTTCCATAAAGACAAAATAACCCTACAAGCCACCAAACTCACATTATATTTTTCCAGAAACTATTAAAAGAACCCAACCCTACTGATGTAAAGCATGCCAGAGAAAGGGTTAACTGTGTTCTGTCCTAGTACATTCTCCTCTTCTTGCTAAAAGGAAATATAAATGCAAACAGCTGCATTTCTTTATGTTAATGTCAGAGATAATAATTTTGGACCTGTTCCAAACATATTGATAGCAATCTTATCATTGATTTCTGCTAGCTTTGCTTCAGTTCTTCAAAGAAGCTGAGCTTTTCTCTAATTTTTTTAACATCCATCCTAATTCTGAAAAAATACATTGCACTTTACCCCTCCTTTCCTTTTTCTACACACCAATAATCTCATCTTAATAGTACCATTTAACAGGTTGTCAGTGTGGTATTGTTTTCCCCTGTCATGTCAGTTAGTGATTTTAAGGTCTTAAGAATTTATTTATCCACTTCTGTTTGCATAAAACTAAGAAGAACTATGTTTGCTGCCATTCCTTATTAATTTTTCACTTGTAGTATTTGATATTCAGACATATTCCCTACCCACCCATGTGCAGAAGGTCTTTGATCAGAGGAAGTGTGATGGTAATACCATTGATCTCCTTCAATAATCCAGTGATTGGACACAAAGAAATTGGATAGTCCCTCCTGTACTTGATTTGTACCTGTATCTTCATCGCCAGGAATTCATTGCTTATCCTCAAGGCATTCTGTAGTGAGCCATCTACAGAAATTATTTCTTTTTTTTTTTTTCCATGGAAATCTCAAAATATTTCCAAGGGTCAGACTTTAGAATTAGCTTATCTCACCTCCAGGTGTGTTTTTTATGTAGGACTGTGATCTCTTTAGAGCTACTGCACTGAAGCAGTTTCCTATGTAACATCCATAGGTGCTTATTTCTTCTAATGCATAGGAAGCCAAAAATATCTTATTCAAAACATCATTATAGCAGACAAGTTCTTCTGGAACTGTGTGCCTCTAATTTTTTGTAAAGTGTGGATAACTGGATTTATTTACCTTTTAAGAAAATTGTGGAGATAATCTTAATACTTGGATATTAAATTGAGGAACTGATGTATG